AGTGGGAGATCGTGCTGATTGTGTATGTGTAGATGAAAATGTCAAGAATAATATGGCATTTCATTTAGTCTCAGCTATTATTTCGTTCATCCAAACTTAATGAACAAAAAGCCAATTTATTGAAATCATCCGGTTACTGTAATAGACTGCAACAGTTAAATGAAGATCCAAGTATACAAAAATATTTTTCTGAAACATTGAATGTAAGCATGAAGTTTGCTTTTTTCTCTTCTATTTCCGGATTTAATCATTTTGCTATTTCAAGAATACTTCACGAGATCCTATTCAAGATCAAGAAGAAGAAAGATGGGAAGATGGAGATGATTTTTTTGATGAAAAACAAACTTTTTTACGTCCGCGATCAATGCATCTCGAACATAAGGAAAAGAAATTTCATGTCAAATTTTTGAAAGACTACGATGCGCATGACCCAGTCTATCGCGCAGCTGATCGTCAACGTCCACATCTCACCGAACGATTGACACAAAAAAACCTTGAAACATTGTTTCCTGTAGATAATTCTCTTCTTCCAAGTCAATCTGTTCAATCGACTGGACAACGCGAAAGTAAGAGAAGAGGACTGCAAATGATCTATGAAAATTTTTCATTACTAATAGCTTTTCCACCATTGACCGTCGCGGCATTGAAAGAGTATCGTCCATCATTTTCGCCTAAGTCAACAGCTCGCCAAGCAAAATCTTTGGGCACGAATGCACTACATCAACGGAAAGCCATGCGCAAAGCAGATTTTATTTGGAATCAATCAGTTGTAACATCAAGAAAACTGAAATGACATTATTTCGTTGTGGTTTATTTTGATAATGTACTGCACTCCATATCATTATTAACTATATTTTTCTTTTTTTCCCATTGTTTGTTCGTTTTATATAACTCACAGCTGGAATTGATATGTATGCGCGTGCCAGAACGGAAATGAAAAGAAAAACTAATAACAGATTACAATATCTCTCTTGCGCACGTTCCATCTCCCACTGGCATCTCGACCAGTGAGAGTTCGCTATCGTGCTAAACCTCTAAATGAAGGAAAGAATGTGACGACGAACGACATCTCGTCCCGTACTTGGCGCATTCTTCTCTCCTAGCTTAACGACTGAAAATCGGAAAAGAAAAAGAGAACGAACAGACAAATTGAGCTGTGGACCTTGTTTACTTCTCACATTTTTATTCTATATGACAAGCCAACGTCAGCCGATTCATGTTCTGTTTTCTCCTTTCTGCCGATTTCTCCTTATTTTTCCCTTCTCTGTGTTCTTCATCACTCTCGAACTAAAGCTCGCTCTACTGGTAAAATACGTCGATGCGTTTTCTCACACACCAAGCAGAAAGAGAAAGAAACCGTGCAGAAAAACAGGAAAAAAACGCAGTGTTGTCGTCGTCATCGTCATCGTCATATGCGTTGTTCTTCCATCATTTCTAATTTCTCGTGTCAATTTTCATTGTATGTAACAGAAAAGAAGAAGAGGAAAAAAGAAGCAGCAAAAGAAGACGAAGGGGGAAGAACGATACCAATGATAGATAGATGGATGGATGGATGGTTTAGATAGATGGAGAGAAGACCTCCACCTCTCTTCTCTTTCCCCCGACGCATCCAGTCAAGAAGAGAAGAGGAAAAAATGAAGAAGAGTAAGACGCCTGCCAAAACTATAAACAATAACAACAACAACAACAGCAGCAGAAGCATCAGCAGCAACTAGAAACTGACGAAGAAAAAGTAATAGAGAATGATGGTAGTTCTGCCGCCCGTTCTTTCTTCGTCGGGTTTTTTCTTTCTGTCTTGCTCTACAGCCACCATCAGACTTCGTTACCATCTTCTGCACTGCCACTATCAATACCATGTGGGTGTGTATATTTGTATATATGTTGACTAAAAAAATACAAAATTACGGGAAGGAACTGAAGTAAGTTCATCGTTAAATGGCAACGATTCGACGGTAAGAGGAAAGAGAAATGGTTTCTCTTGGGTTTATTCTTCATAATATCTCGTGCACTACAATCAACACACACGCAATCGATTTGAAGTTTCCTTTTCTTGTCGTCATTGTCGTTATTTTTACTTTCCATGTTGAATTTTTCAACGATAAAAACTTGAGATAATGATGTTCGACGTAAAGTCTACCTTATTTAACTCAATATATAGAAACAACATTTTCTATTTTTCTCCTTTTTCTTCTCCTTCGCCTTTATTTACAGTTCTTTTACTCATTCTCTTTGCGATTGTAGTCAGCATCTTATACTCATACAAATCGACACTAGACGAATATATGTGCGTATGTCGTCATCAATGTTCCTCGACTAGATAGCACTCTTTCTTTCTTTTATTTTCTAGCAGGTGGAATCACGCTCTCTGCATTTAACTGTTTGGTTTGATTGAAATAGTAGAGAAAAGAAAAAGAAATAAAGTACGAGAGAAGACAACAAAGAAACGAAGTCTTTCTTCTCCCTACTAATTACTCTTCGGTTCTCTTCCTTCTTTTTCCTCGCTCTCCCTCTCTCACTCTAGCATTCGCTGGCTCACCCATTTGTCTAATGAAAAAAAGGAAAGGAGAAGAATGAACACTAAAAAAGTAAGTAACGTGAAATAAGTTGATGGAAAGATATGTCTTACTAATGTGGAAATACAATAAACTAATCAAGTTATATTTAGATTTAGTAAGGTTAACTTGGAATACATTTCTATTATACAGAACTCTCTTAATCAATTAGCTCAAACAGATATAACATTCAAAGCAGCAGCAGCAGCAGCAGCAACAGCAGTAGTAGTATTATTCGAATACACTCACGCAGTAATTGGTAAATGTCATCGATGCCATGTTAATATGTGAACGTATGATTTCAAGAAGAAAGATCGAGTGTATACGGATCAGTACGAGAGTCGATTTCTATTATGCATTGCCATTTTTTGTTTTTCTATTACATGGACATCTGATCTGAGAATGACTATTTCATTTAATTAATTCATTAATTAATAGTCAATAATCAGTTTATTCGTTCATTTCTACACGCAGTTGATGATGACAGCGAGGAGAATTGTCACGCCTTCTGATTGATGAGCGAACTCATACGGCACTCATCGTTGCTTCTATTTTTTCTATACTATTTGCGATAATTGCTGACTAGCTGCTAGGATTTTCAGATAGAATAAGGCGTTGGTTCTTGTGCATCACCATCATCTCTCGCTTTTCTTCTTTTCTCCTCAACATTCTATTCTCGCGCACGCATGCATGCATGCGTATGTGTTTGTTCTGTTCATAACCATTACTGCTTCTCTAACAATGGTTGATGATAGTGTTAAGAGTTCCTTCGCTAACTATTCTAATACACAGACTTATAGGTGATATAAATCGAAAGAATTATTGCACGAGAGAAAAGAAAAACCTGATTGAACATGCATTTACATTGTGTTTCTCTCTTTTTTTTTCTAGATCATGATTAGTTGATGTCGACAATTGTCTTGATTCTATAGATAGATCGATCTATATATATATCTACACACGCAAAATATTGCATTCAATTATTCAAGTTCGAGACCAACCTGTGCCATTACTCGTTTCTTTCTTTTTTTCCTACCACTGCATGGTAAGTCATCATGATAGTGCTACTGGTGTGACGAAGAGAGGCAGTAAAGAAGAAGATGAAGAAGATATAGAAGCCACAACAAGAAAACAGCACGTCTGTATATAGTCCAAAGGCTTTATCTCTTTTTCATTTCTTTATTCCCCCCCCCCCTCTCTTTTACACATGATGAGACACTCTCTTTCAATATGCCCAAGCAGATTTGGAAAGCGAGAAACCTTCCTTTCCTAGAGTCCTTGCTAAGTTGGCCATTTTCTTGTCTTTTTTTTATAGACGCTTCAATGAACGCTAATAAAACGCGAACGCGACTGTCGCATTATGTTCGTCTTCTACAAAGAGACCACACGAACATTGAAGTATTCATCAACTAGGTATGGAAATGAATTTTTCTTTACTTTCTCTCTCTCTCTCTCTGTTTTTCAATCTAAAGAAAAGCCAATAACTTAATTTGAAGTTAAATATATAACAATTATAGTTATCTGAAATCTTATGTCGTAGAGAAGTAATTTCTGTCGTCTCTCTTCGAATAAAAGTAAATTGACATTTCATATCCTGTGTATACATAGGAAAAACAATTTTAATTTCTTGATTACGAAAACAATAAAGAATCTTTTCAAAGAAAATGTCTTCAGGTTTCAAACATCTTCAGCTAAATGAGCACTTTTCTTTATCATTGACATGAAATTTGAACATATCCATTGGAAAACGAGATCATGGATAGATCCTCTTTTCTTTGACATTACTTAAAGAATATAAGATAGAAAGAAAAGAAAAGAAAGAATATGAGCCTCGTTCTGATAGTGACATTGATTACTCTTCTCATCCTCTAGTCGAAAAAGAGGATGATTACAATATACATCAAGTTATTCTATTTTATCTTATTTAATATAAGATGATGATGATGATGATGATGTTTCTTATTCAGATGATTATATCATCTCGATATATAAATTGATATTTTAGGAGAAAAAGAAAAGCATCGACTTTATTGTCAAGTACTCCGTTAATAACAACAGCAGTAGTAACAGCAGCAGCAGCCGCAGCAGCACAACATCGTCGCTGCTATCTTTCTTCGTCTTCTTCTACTTCTTCAACGGTACCCTCCTATTCAGTGCTGATTTTTTCAGCTGCCGACATCCTTTTCCGGCTCACAGAGGCTTTTGTCGGTCAAGTCGAAGAAGTGCAAAAGAATTGTTTCCGTAAAGTAAGCAAAAAGAAAGGAAAATTGAAATTAAATAAAAAAAAAAACTTTTTTCTTCTTTTCTCCGATAGATTATGAACTCACGTCATTCAAATCAAGAAAACTCATCAATCTACGAAAGTAATCGATCGCGCCGTCAGCCACCAACACCTTCCAGCCAACACGAGCCACTTAACTCATCTCCTACTCATAGTGATCAAGAATCAAAAGCCTGTTGTTTTTGTTGGTGTTGCTGTTGTTCCTGTTCGTGGTACGTATTGACATACGACGTCTCCAACTTTGATTTCACTTGCATTGTCTATTGCGCAAAAGAGTTCCTATATTTTTATGCGTTTTTGTTTAACCCATTTTCTCCCTTCTCCTCTTGACGCTCGAGTAATTGGTTCACCGGTATACAAATCGTAGCTTTTTTGTCTGTCTATCTCGCTTGCTTTAGACGTGGATCTCCTCATCATCACATATTAACAGTCAGCAGCATCACATTTATTGCTACAAAAATTGGTCCCCTACTCCTTTCCAGTCCTCGTGGTGAATTTGCGCGTTCCAAAGCGCGCGTGTGCATGTGAAAAGAACATGATTAAACATTTC